CTCTACTGTGATATAATTCTCGCTCTCTACTGGTCCAGTGGTGTGAGGGTTAGTGCTGCCGTCATACAGCTCCTGGAAAGCAGGTTTGATTCCAGACTTGTGCACAATGTGTGTGGAGTTTGCATGGCCTCTCGGGTTCTGCCTCACACCCTGTGCTTCTGGGGCAGGTTCCAGGATGCCATGACCCTTATTAGGGGGTAAGTGATAAATGATGGATAACCTCAATATCAGTTTTGTCTATATAACAGCAAAGGACTGCAGAGACAATATGAAGAATACATTTTTTCTGGTTTAGAACAATGGGGAAAATGGTGTTTTTAATTATTTAACTATAATAATTGCCTACACTTATATAGCGCTTTTCTGGACCCTTCACTCAAAGCGCTTTACAGGTAATGGGAAATCCCCTGCACCACCACCTGGATGATGCAACAGCAGTCATTGTACACACAGCACCCTCACAGCACATCAGCTATCAGTGGGGAGGAGAACAGACTGATGAAACCAATTAGGCTAATTGACCATTAGGAGGCCATGATAGGTAAAGGCCATGGGGAAATTCTGGCCATGATGCTGGGGTAACACCCCTGCTCATTTTGAAAAACACCCTCGGATTTTTAATGGCCACAGAGTCAGGATCTCTGTTTTATATTTCACTCGAAGGACGGGGCCTTATTACAGTACAGTGTCCCCATCACTAAACTGGGGCATTAGGTCCCACACAGACTGCAGGTTGAGCGACTCCTACTGGCTCCACTAACACCTCTTCCAGCAGCAACCTTAGTTTTTCCCAGGAGTCTCCCATCCAGGTACTGACCAGGCTCACACCTGCTGAGCTTCAGTGGGGCTGCCAATTGTGAGATGCAGGATGATATAGCTGCGGACTTTTTTTAGATATCAAAAGATTACTACAGCTATTTCAAACTGTAATCTGTAACGGGGTACTGCACAGCTAAGGAAAAGTTACACTTCTGCCTCAGCTATCCCCAAAACACTCACGTAGTGACTACTCACATGTCACACCACAGCAGTAATTACCAGAGTCCCAGGCAAGATGGCAATCTAAATGCTACATTTATCACCGACTACCTCTGCTCTGTGTAAACGCCATTTCTGCTGCTATGAATGTGTAATGCAACTGAAATTTTTTATATTGCACCACATTTGAACTTTCCCTTTTTATAAAACAGAGAGGTATTACCAAGACAAAGTGGATTAACATTTGGGATATTTATTTTCCCTAGGAGAGCACATTCTAAAAAATAATACTCTGGGGTATGGAAGCATACTGCACATGTATTCCCTGGCTAAAGAGCAATATACAGACAAAATCTGACAACATGCTAATTCTATACTAATCTGCTCCCAGATGACAAGCTCATATCCAAGTGGTGCAATCCTAGGGTTTTACTGTAGGCTTAATTCTATACTAATAGGAAATTAACACAAGGTTACATGGTAAGAAACCTTGAAGAATTTTAAACATTAAAGTAAATTTTAAGAAACGTTTTAGGGTGCTACTTACAATTCATTCCCTGTAAGCTGTTAAATTCCCTTTGGGGAAAAATAGTCTAATTTCTCAACCTACTAGACTTTACCAAGAAAAAGTCAAATTTCTCAACCTACTAGACTTTGTCAAGACAGATGTGCATGTCACAGACATGATTGTTACGACCAGTTGTTAAAAAGCATGTAAGCATTAGCCAAAGTGAAAATACTCAATCTTTAAGTAAACAACGAACTCAGACCACCACTGCACACTGATTGCAAGGTTTGTGTGGTGACAACATGGACACTGCATTTTCAGCTTGGATTTTTGATGACTACAGTACATTACACTGCCAGTAATCAATCGAGAGCTCGTCAAGCACAGCTATGCTCTATTCTGCAAAGCCAGCAGAGAGACAGTTTTGCTTTCTACTGCACTGCTAAATCTATTGGTATGGTAATGAGAACTGTTGGGGAAAGTTACTGTTAAAATGTAATCCAATATAGTTACAGCTTACTATTAATTTAATTAAAATTAGTTTAATTCTTAAATTAAAAAACCTGGGGGAATAACCCAGCTCTGAGCACCAATGTCGGGGCTACACAGCTCAAACAGTGTCTAGAACTACCTGACAACCTCAAACATATTTAGACTGATTTCAAATAATGCAAATTACATTCTGTCTCAGTTAAATCTAATAACAGGAAGTTATAAGTTGTTCTCAACCTGAAACTTAATGATAGACAATTAAAAAACATTTTTTAAATCTGGAGTTCAGGGGTTTCCAAATGTAGATAGTAATGCATCTGTGTTTTATTTTAGCAAGGTGCTCATATCGGAATGCTTAGGACGAAGGGTCGACAAGGCATGTGGAATTGCTTTGGAATATCCCCCGAGAGTCGTTGCTAAAAGTCAATTTCAGGTTCCCTAATGAAAAGAACCGCACAGCTAGCAGTTAGTGAGCAGGCCTCAAGGATTAATAAAGACCATTACTGCTCAGGCTGCATGAGAGTCTGCAGTTGGGCCCAAAACCTTGGTGATAAGAAGAGAGAAGTTAAAACTCCAAGCAGACTGGCCCAATGACCAAGGAAAAGTCAAGAAAAACGTAAATCTTCGGTGTTCTAAGGAAATATCACATCACCTTTCTGAGCAGCTGAGCTACTCAGTGGCGAGGGAAGAAAAAAAGAATATTTGAACAGACGTCTGGCTAAATTAACAAGGCTAGTTTCAAAGCATGACACATAGGTCTATCCTGCTCAATTGCCCACCCAATGGGAAAGGAACTTCATTAAGGACCACCGACTGCCACTCACTGCTCGCAGAATGCAAAGCAGTGGGTAACTTACCCACAGACTATTATAGCCACAGTGCACAGCTCCCCACCAGTTACCTACTGCCTTTCATGGTTCTTTAAAACAATGAGGAGTGTAAGGAGTCAGACATAAGAGCCTTTTTAAAAATGGAGAGAAAAACCCCTCTTCATAGTAAAAATATTTTAGAGTTATGCAAATTTAAGATGCTGTCTGCTTGGTTATTCTTCAAAAAACAACAAATGCTTGTTTTTGCTCAATAAAACCCAATTGTCATCAGTTGTGCAATAAGCATTCCCTGGTCAGGATTAAAAATGAAAAAATCTCATTTATAAGATTTCACCTTTAGAAAAGGTGTGCCTGTAACCTAGACCCCTTGAAAAAACAACACCAGGACTAAGATGGAAATAAAATTAATTATATAGAAAATAATCTGTATTAAAATGTAACTTGCATTTTAACTTGTGTGGCCAGCCACTAATTGAAAAGAAGAAAAACATGAATTGCTACTGTAAAACAAAGGGAATGCTTTCCTCCCATGTGATGGTGCTACTGTAGACAGCACGTACTGAGCTGAGATGCCAGTTCCGAGTATCCATGTCGAGTTACCATTTAGCTGAACAGACCCAGCATAATTAAAGCATACTTCACACACTAATAAAACCCTGTAGACGGGGTTGGTTTCAACAGTGGGTCGTGTAGAGGGTCCCCAGGCTGAGATCAGATAAAACCTTTCATTTCAGTGTAAGAGCGAATGCAAAGTGGCTCTGCATCTGCTAAAACTGTTTTTCGTGATCCTGTTTTTAAAATAACCATTGATTTCATCTTGAGCGAATTCGCGGTCCTCACTGGGCAAGAGCTTTTGTAAAGGGTACCCCGATATAGAAAAGTCTGAAAACCCCCTGGTGCACAATACATACTGCACACAATGGAATGCAGACAGTTTTCATAATGAAGTACTGTATCCCAATCTCACTATCCGTGTTAACGGGAATTTACGATTAAGATTACGATATACCCTACCTTTACAGAATGGGTATGAGTTAAACTCGCCGTGCTTAAACAAATCCCCAAAATACATAGAAAGCAAGAAGACGAAACTTGAGTATGAGCGTCTATTGTTACACTGATACAGTCTCTGCCCATTCAATGAACTGTATTCACCGTGAAACTGGTTTAAACGCAGTTGCAAAACCCCCTCGCTTCAAATAAATGCGTCCGCTAGGAGCTGTGTGTGAACATGCTGCATATGAAGTTAAAAACGTATCTAATGAAATCAGACTTTTTATGGCAAGTTGAATCTGGCACCCCAGATGTTACTCAAATTTCTGCTATTTTTTTTTAATTTTCCAAGTATGTGCTTAACTCAGAGGTAATGATGCCATGTCGACCTTTTCCGAACATATTTAACAACGAAAACAGCTTTTTTATGTATCCGTCTGCTTTGATAGCACGACTGCAACTGGCGAGATTTTTTTAATTTGAAGAAACCACTGCGCCCAGAGCCATTCCACGTTTTACGTGGCCCCAGCGCAGGTAAAACTCATCTGTACTCGACAGAACTGCGCCTTTACAAGACAACGGGGAAAACACAGCCCTGCACTCCTCACACAAGACTGCCGTAAATACACACCCACGTTGAGTGTGCCTGGTCAGGGATTGTGGGACAAAAACCAAAATGAATCAAACCCGATTTTTTAAACGCAGTCTTCAGACTCATTTTTATTTTGGGGGGGCGAAACTGGGGCTTTTCTAATGCAAATACGTGGACGCCTTCAGATGCAAATTTGCCAACGACTGCAAAATGGAAAAGAGGAGGAGGAAGAGATGGCAGAGACTTTTTGAACTGAACACAAAATACAGCAAAATTCAAAAACTCGATACCGTTCTGTATAGACCTATAAAATACGCCTAGTCCTGCATTTAAGAAAGGGGACTGACTAACCACGCTGCTGCAAAAATTCCCCAGTTACTAGAGCTGCTAGTTAGGAATACCATTTAAAATAAGTACAGTAGTTTTGTCAGACAACCAACAGCCTCTCCAAAGCGCAGAAACTCCTTTTTTACAATCTCCACAAGCCCGTTTAAACAGCGGTATGACCGCACTAGTCAGTGCAACAGACGGCAGTTTTGCAGCATCAATAGTGCCTGCAGCCGGTACATGCACAGTCCGAACTAGTACTACAATATTAAGACCTTACCTGCATCTCATGAATCAGCTGAGCAAAACAACCTCGAATCCACTCAGATCCCTTTTCTTACAGAAAAGAAAAAAAAGTTCTTCTCAAACGTTAAGCAAAAGCTTGTAACGTTAAATACATACATGTAAATTCATCTACATTTTTAGAGAGTACAGGCTCCGGCATTTCTCCATGTCCTGCGCTTTTGATATTGTGTGTTAATGACACATTGAGAATGGGGGGAAATACAAGCACATAAGGCAGTAAATAATGTCTCGACGTTGACGATTTTGTTCAGCTTTCACACAAGGTATGCTATAACGCTTACATAAAACGGTATCCGCAGCCAAAAAGGCGAAATTAATTCAAATAAGCATCCATAAATCCAAGAGAGGTTCCGCGGTCCGGTCTTGTAGTCCAAAGCGGAAGATGAAAGCCTTTTATAAAAAGAAAGGATTTCAATAAAGGGCAAATGTACACATTTGTACGTAAAAGCCGCGCTTCTGTGAGTGGGAAAAGGGGTCCTCTGCCCTTCGCTCCTCCTGTAGGAGAAAATGCTTAGCACAGCTACAGGGAGGATACCGGCAAAGCAAGGAGCAGAAAAATAAGAATGTATATATAAACAAGCGCATCACGCACAGTGGCCCTTCTAATAAGTTGAAAGCTCACTCTGCGCACGCAGGAGCTGCTGGAAGGTAGCAGTAACACATTCTGACGTTCCGGCTCACACATGACGGAGAGCATATTCGTGCAGAAACCCGATTTTAACATTTTCGTCTTCAGCCCGTGAATGACTGCTTCCAGACGCGAAAAACACTTGCACCACCCGCCTTGGCTAGGATGCAAAGTTCACAGTAAAGAGTGCCCACAAGAACCCGCATCCCTCACTTCAAGCGATGATGTGTACCTGCGATAGCGGATTTTAACGGTGCTGCCAAGATCAACATGTGTCAGTACGGCCTTTGTATTTTGTTAAAAACAGAAACAATGTTAAAAATACTGTTCGCCATTGCCTGGTCTTAAATTATTAATATACTTAGCGGTTTGTGGTACCATTTCTTTTTACCCTTTAGTGTGTAGAGGCTAATACTCAAGGTAATACTGGCAAATACCCCAATTCTACAAGGTCTTATTTAAAATTAATCGCAGGTATGTTAGCAAGTTACCTTGAAGATACTGATTTTGGAAGAACAAATAGAAAATCAGATCTAGGTTTTGATCCAGGTCCAAGCCAGAGGAAGAGTCAATCTGCAGTTCTGGTCAATCAGGAAGCTTTGTCTATTGGCCAAATGGAGGGGTCAGAGGGATAGCTCTAGACTACTGGTCACTTCAGTGTCAATTGGTAAAGCTACTGTTCAGTTCAAGAACAACCAAAAAAAAAAAACCTTCCTCCGCTGGAACTAACTCCGGATGTTACTCTTCATTGATCTATGTTTTTCACAAAGGGGTATTGAAGTCCTGTGAAGCCCTTAAATCTACACCTTAAAACAAAAGCCAAGGCAGCCAAAGTGGAAAAAAAAAACAGTAAATTAAACCATCAGATGCCTAATCCGTGGCTTCCAGACATTAATCCAGTGAATTCGTCCTGCTGGGTCGCTTCTGAGAGAGACCGCAAGATCTATAACCTTTGGAATCTGAAAGAATTGGATTTAAGGATCATATACTCACTGGCCTTCACATAAAAGACATCATTAGAACTATCACTGCACATTTGGGATATACATTTTCATGGCTTGCTTGATATGATTTGATTACAAATGAGCACAAGTGAGATAATCTGGTTTTTATGGGCATTTATTTTGACAGGCTCACATTAGAGACATCATCTAAGAAGAGTAGTATAGTGTGAACAGGGAAATTCAGAACTAGCTTCACATGATACAATCCATCTACAGTACAAAGGGCTGAGATGCACTGTCAAGGAAACTTCAGTGGATTGTTCGATAGTTAAGATTTTTGGAAGCAGAATTTAAATGATACCAAATTGTTGTAGCGTTATCTGCGACCTTCACGGTTCTCTGGCAATCAGTAACTTCAGCAAACCATGGAGCCTGTACTAAGAAGACATATACACAGCCAGTCCTTTTATTCTGCTCCCAAGGTCAAACAGATTATGCACAGGGTGCGTAGACAACCTCACCCTGCAGAGTGGAGACACAAACACAGGAACTCCCTGGCTGGTTACACTCCAGAGTATAAGTACTCTTATATGGTACCTTGCACTCACAACTGTTATCATTATTATATCATTATCACTAACATTACAATATTCCTACAGCACATATTACAATATTATAGCATTATTGCAGTACTTTTTAGCAACCACGCCTTTCACACTTCTAGAACACTTCTCAATCATAACTAAAACTTGAATAAAGTAAATCCGCAAAGTACTGCAGACAACTCGGATAAAACAATGAGGAACAAGGCTCGGGCCTATAGCAAATTTGTACATAAACAGGATTAAGTTGTGATTGTGAAAGAGAAAGATGAATGACCTGTAAGGCCTGCAGGAGGAATTATTTCCTTAAAAATTAAGAGTTAATCAAGGATTTAATATAAGTGTGAATTAGACTGCACATAAATGAAAAAACCAAATGCATTGACTGTAAATTCCTATGATGTGACCTAAGGTATTCTGAACATTCGTTGTCAATGCAAAACATAAGCTGGCTGAACACAATGTAAGCAACAGGTCGAAGTATATTCTATGTAATTACATACTTTTATTACTTTCAGTTAAAAAAATCTTAATGACATCAGTATTGCAGCAATGTAGAGCATGCCATCAATTGAAAGATTTTTTAAATGAACAATCCCTATCAAGCTTTGTTTGCTTGGGTTCTGATTTTGTTGCTTTTTGTTGAGCATTTTCCAATGAATGATGCTATTCAGGCAGAATCTGCATTGGATTTCTGTATAATACATTAACCTTTATTACATTTCTTATTGACTCTATGATTTGAGGCTTGTTCCATCAATAATTATTCCTGTTCCATAAGTTTAAATAGTCTGCTTTCATTTCTTATTTGCATAACTAATACATAAGCATACACTGCTGGTATTATACTGCACTAGACAAAATATTGCACAAGTCTGTAACAGTGGGACTACAAAACTAAGCTCAGGCTCGCTTTATTTTGAAGCCCATTCAATAATGTAATTTCACTTTTTCCATTACAGGCCAAGGTGTTTTTTTCCTCCCAAGACCCTAAGGGAATATCTAGCCTTAGGTGTTTCCTGGAGCATTCGGGCCCGGACTACCAGACTCAGAGACAGTTTTTACCCCCGCACTATCAAACTATTAAACTCCCAGCCTCTCTCACTCTCACCTCTGACCGGAACTCACAGTGCCACCTTTCTTACCAAAAACTCAAACACACATCGAAATCTACCTCTACCCTACATGTCAAGAAGCTCACTCCCCAGCATTTCTATCCTTTCGTTCTGTTGATGCATGTTTTTGCACATCTGATGTTTTTGCACATAACCTGTTACCTTTTTGTTGTTTTGCACACTGCCTGTTGTCTCTGTTTTTCTTTTATTATACAATTGTATTGTTGTTTTTTTGTACTACATATCTGAGAGATAGCTCAATAGCATTTCATTATACCATATACCTGTATGAGTATAATGACAAACTTGAACTTATTCTATAAACAAAGAACACAAGAAAAAGAACCTTGAAAGTCTTGTTTTTTCTTCCACTTAAGTCTCTTTTGCAGACTCAAAATGCCTCAAATATTTTGAAATAATGAAATAAGTGTTTGCTCACTTGAGTCTAACAGGATCATTCATGATCTGTCTGGCTCAAAGGTTTCTAAGCTCGCACTTAAACATATCGCCTTAAGAGATGCTAGTACCTGCATAAGTCATTTCAATATGGCTTTCACAAAAAAGTTACGCTTTTATCATGGAATTACCCTGGACTCAGTACTATTTTTATATTATTGCTACTAAGAGTTCTATTTCTTCTGCTAACAGTCCGAAGTTTCTTGGTGCGCATATCACAGATGACCTCACTTGGACCATCAACACCACCTCCCTAGCTGAAAAAGCACAACATCTTCACTCCCTGCAGCAAGTGAGAAGGGCAAACCCCCCCCCCCATACTACCCACATTCTATAGCGGTACCATTGAGAGCATCTTGGCAAACTGCATCATTGTTTGGTCTGGGAATTGTAAGGTCTCAGACCCAAGTCCCTGCAACGAATCGTCAATACAGCAGAAAACATCACTGGAGCTTCCCTTCTGTCAATTCAGGACATCTACCACAAACCCTGCACACACAAAGCCTCCAGTATTGTGGACGATCCCTCCCACCCCTCCTGCAACCTCTTTGCCCTCCTACAATCTGGTAAAAGGTATCCCAGTATACGGGCCTGCTCCACCAGACTTCATAACAGCTTTTTTCCACAGGCTGTTGGGCTCCTCAACACACTGGTACTGTACCTACTGCACCTACTCCAAATCTGGAAACCTAGATCTTTTTTGCCTAATGATAGGTATACTGTCTGATGTGTTCTTTGCACAATTCTTTGTGCAATCCTGTAAAGTAAATTGCACTACACACATTGCACTTTATTTACCCTGTACCCTGTCAGAAATGTCTATGCCTACATTGTCTATAGCATTATCTTGTCAGTGTCTTGGCTGTATTCTCAGTCAATCTCAGTACATCATAGCCTGCTGCAACCATGGCTGCTGGTGCTGCTGTACATGCCACTGTGTGTCTCTATGTTGGCCCACCAGGTAAATACATCTGTTCTGACCAGACTATCCTATTCTCCTCCCCACATGTCCGGATGGTGCCCAGGCTGGGTACCATCTGAGTTGGATGCCGCATCACTGCAATGGATCCAAGAGGGACATCGTGGATATAGCTATTGTTTAAGAGGAATTTACCGAGTACTAACACACAGAAGATATGATGGATGGATTAATACCCTCATTATTTCATATTTTTTATATAATGTAAACATGCCCAAATGGGTTGGGCAACCAGTTGACCTTGGACCCCTAGAGGTTTTTTTCTCCTTACTAAGGAGTTTTTGGTTCCTCTCCTCCATTGTCTTCTGGCCTTCTGTTTTTTTTATTGACAAAATGCATCGTGAATCGCATTGTTAAGCGCCTTGAGGCAACCCTGTTATGAAAGCCGCTATATAAAAATAAACTGAATTGAACTAAATATTCACACCATAGACCTAGGGAACGATATCTCACTCCTCTGTATACTTGTATATGGCTGGATTGACAAACTTGAACTTGATTTCTAAGAGATGGCAAAGCTACCACTGTATAGATTGTCCCAACGGAAGATGCTGCCTTACTGTGTTAAACTGGCAGTAGCCATGCTCACAAACACATACTCATTGAAGATGGGTCTGACAGCCTCCATCCTTAACTAAGGTGGTTCTGAGCACACAGACGTTTATACTGGGAACACTGAACAGTGCAGGAGAATTATTGGAGAGATTCTAAAACACTCTCACCAGACTGCAAAACCCAACCATCAGGTAACACTGTGAAACCATATTTATATCAATTAGTCCCATGTGAGAATATGTCAAGTAACCACTAATAATTGAATTACCAGACCAGAGACCCTACATACAGGTGGGACAGGCCAATTGGCATCCTCTAGTGGCAGGTTGGCTTATAATACAGTCTCGCCATAGCCCAGCCTGCTACA